TTAAATACGAAAATCATTTATATTTTAATGCACAAACGCCCCAACGCACATACATGATCAAATGTGTTACAAAGGCATACTATTATTTGAACCAGTAGAAATAAATCACCCCACATTTGAGGCCTGTGTATCTTTTACTATAACCTTTATAAACACGCGTGGTGTAATTATATTTCCAACTTAATGACTATCAACTCTTAAAAGATATTGTTCTATTAACCTGCTAGCTTCCTTCCCACACAGTACCTCTTCATTCAATCACTTGCTTTACACTTTACATACAGGGAGAGGTCCAAAAGGGAAAATAATTCAATGGAGTTGACCAAAATGAAATCAAGATATCCAAAATAATCGCATTGGAAAATGTTGAACTGTCCTGGCAATTTACAGCCATAAAAGCGAATATTTTAGTACCTGGCCAATTGGAACTGTAAACCGAGCTGATCTGCTCATCACATCTCAAAATGCGATCTTTTGAATTGGTTTTGAATTGTTCAAAGTGAGAATCTAACTCCCCTACAATTGTAAAACTTGAATTAATAATAACTTTACCGCTGCTTTGAATTCGGCCACCAAGGGCATCGCAAAATCCCGGAAAGGTGCTTTAAAGAAGCTGTTAACTCTTACCAGCAACATAACCTGAAGTCATTCTGGTTATTACGACAGGCAATAAAAATATTAATTTGTTGCACTCTGCTCTGCAGAAGGAAAACGAGGAGGGAGATTGGGATTCCTGTTTGTGGATTTGTTTTTTGTTTCTGATCCTGGCGCTATATGTAACCGATACACTCCTTGTTTCTGACAATGTAAGTTACATTACTCGGGATCACACACCATGCAATCTCAATTGTTGGGTAATTTTTAACAGTTTTACAAGGTTTACAGGCTTTCTTGTATTTGTGATGCATCACAAGCTACAAAGTGCAAATAGGGCTTCATTGTGTTCACAGATTATGTACAGAGAAGGTCAGGATATTTTTTTAAATAGAGAAAACCAAGTTATTTCACAATGTTGTCAAGTCCTCTCGTTAGCTGAGGGCACAACAAAGGAAAGGTTCAGACACTTATCAAATTCACTATTTCCTGCCAACCATTCAACAATCAGATCCGAAACGTAAACGGTGGTCGGAAACCAGATAAAAGTAACATTTTATTCCAGCAATTTATGGCAGAAAAAATAAATCAGTGACTTTGTGTGTAAACGTGTCCCTTTTTTTTTCAGGGAGTCTTGTTTTGAAAATGTAACAGCTGAATTGGATAAAATAAAAGCTGTTCCTGAGTTTACAGGGCAGACGGGCAATGATACATCTGCGAGCACTTTCTCGCTTGAGAATAGGTATCTCGGTATTGGAAAGAGTGATGTTGAAGCGATTCAAAGTGTATTATGATGCACTGCAGAGTGAATGCACTGATGAATGCATCGTCCCACGAACACATGTATTATCGACGTTCATTGTGAGAGGGAAGTTTCTTGGTATTTCATGCTATTGACTGAAGTCAAACGGCGATGTGAGCCCGAGTATAACTCAATTCTCTGCAATCCCCACCTCTGCGTAATATTGTGTGGTCGAGTAATCGGATAACTTTACACTCTCTAAATGCACGTTTCCACATCTATACTCTTAATTATCAAAGGGCAGAGCGATTTACGGCCTTGATGATTACTGTGATATTGTCGCATAACATTTTGTAATAAACATGTCGACAGTTGCAGTATTTAGGGGGTATGTTGAAAGGCTTTACGATCGTTCCTAATGCCTTACCGGTGTGAGGAGACACGCGTGACGATTTCTGTTTAACCCATTTCTTCTCCATTCAGAGAATTGAGCGGAATAAATAAAATAAAGCCTGGAATAATAATAATAATAATGGCAAAGATTGCGGTATTTTGCAATAAGAGTGAAAACAATCCACACTATCTGTAGTCCATTCTTGCTTTAGGAGGAATCTATATTATTTGACTATGTATTTAATACCCGTCCATTGAGATAGCGTTGTAATTTGACAATGTCATGTTGTTCGGCTCTAAATGCAATGTAAACGATTGTTCAAATTGATTTTCCTCAATAAGAGAAAATCTAAATTTCTTATTAAGAGAAGATCAAAGTCTTATGAAAATGTGACTGAGGACTCATCCGTGCATTAAAGCATCTGATGGAGAACAAAATAAGGTGGCACAAATTCCTGCCTACCGAGAAGTGTAGCAAATCTAATATTACAGTAAACATTAGAGGCTTTAACTTCTAAAATATGCCAAAGAAATGTTATGTTGAATCTTTTATCTATGCTGTGAACACTGATAAGGGCGGCTCCTGTGCAAACTCGCCTCAATCATGATTTTGATAACGATAATGTCTTCTCTCCACAGTTTGCTCCTTTTGAGCTCTTTCGATAGGGTTTATGTTTATTGATAAAATTCATACATTGTCGTTTCATTGTTGGTGTTTTAACTGAAGTGGATTGTTTCAATGAGAGCGAACAGAGTTTATCAGTCTGGATGGGTTAGGCTAGAAAAATGAGCTTTATTAAACAGAAACCAAACGCTTTATTCTGAACACAATTGTTACAGTTCCGTACAATGATTACATCGCTATAAATAATAATCATTTGCAACAGATTCGGAATGAGCGAGTCTTCCCGTTTGGTTTTTTTATTTTTCCCACTGTGAATTTTGACTGAATGTCACAGCAGAAATTCACCATTACATTTGGGAGACAAACCCGTTTAAAACAAATTGGGATTCATTGCAAAAGGTTCCGCATATCCCGACTTGTGTAACTGTAAATTAAATCGCGTTTATTAAGGTGGAAACTTGTTTGACGTTGAATATCAAAAAAACCCGAACAAACAGCTTATTGCTACTTTTTTTTTAGTATTCATCCGTTATTTTAAAGGTGCCTTTGCAAATTGATATACACTGCCGTTCAGGTTCGGTATTTATTGACTCTTTGTTAATAGTCTTCATTCAACTCCACTGTACTTTAATTGTATTAACTCGGAATGCGGACTTGTTGTTTCACGCAGTGTTTGAAGCAAATATCACGGCGTTAAAAAGGGAATCGGTGCGGATCTCCGAACAAAACCTCTGGTGAATTTGCTGAAACATTGGCTCGGTCTCACCCGGGTGTTAAGCGTTGGCTGTTTCGGGTCAAACCTAAGTTTAACACAAACCAGACATACCGGTACTCCAGATGTAAGGTGTGTGTGTTGTGTGTGTGTCTGTCTGTCTGTCTGTCTGTGCCCTCAGTACAGCGTTCAGAGAGAATATCCGGACCACAGCGCAAAGTCACCAGGACCTCCTGCACCGTTTCACAGCTCTGTCCGGAGTCGTGTGGCGGTGCCGTTCAGACTTCGCGCCGTTTCTAATTCCTCTCCCCCCCCCCCCCCCCCCCCTACGATAACGATTCCTGTTACCATTTATTTTTGCGCCGCTCTCGAAGAACTTCGAAAGTTTAGAGCGCGTCATCTCCCGAAGAGCTGTCAAACCCCATCGCGGGGCGTCTGTCTCTGGCAATGCAGTGAAGGCGAAATGCGACCGTGTCCGGGGTGGGGGGGGGGAGGGAGGAGGGAGGAGGGGGGAGGGGGGAGGGGGGCATTGCCGGTGATAGTCGGAATTCCGAAAAAATATATATTAAACGAAGCAATCGGTTTTTGTTTGATGTGTTTTTTTTCCTCTCTTACTGGGCGACAGACGCGGGATTGTCGGGCAATTGGCAGAGCGGTCAGACCCAGTGCGATGCACTGTGAGACTGTGGAGGTTTGAAACGTGAGCTCTAGTGGGCGCTGTTGATCCACGGAAGGAATACGGTACCATACACTGGACCGACCGACCCGGCCTTAGCTGTCACATACCATACCTTTACACCACTGCATTTCACGTCCGGCCCACATCACAGCCTCTATTACCCGATTCTGATCTCTTGACGTGCACTGTGTGGAATTGCAGCCGAGGCCAGCGGTTGCCACACGTATCCGTGGTTAACGTTAACTGTAACAACGTTGTATCTCGTTCACAAGAAAAAAAAACGTTGCACTTGCAATGGTTGCATCCACCCTCCCATGACATGCTGGAGAAATCAGTTGTTCATTAAAAGGGGTCTCGTTAATAATATACCTTCATGGAAACGCATTGGCGTTTTTGATCTTTCCTGTGATAAATGAGAAAGCTGTTATTTAAGCGGTGCCAAGTCACTGCAAGGGTTGGGGTGAACTGCGGTCCTTTTGTAAATTAAATCTTCATCAGGCGGTAATGTGATTTGCGCCAGAGATGGGTTCCTCCCAGTTATCAGGTGCAAACGATGCATCCTTCGAAATTGCGTGAGGATCTGCCAACGCAGACCTCGAATTGCATCGGTTTATTTATTTGCGTGAATGTATTTGTGTGTGTGTGTGTGTGTGTGTTTTTTTCGCGCGGGGATTACCTGTGCGGTGGGGGCTCGCTGTTCAAGGCACTAACCAGCGAGGCGCCGTTTAGGGTAAACTCGATGAGAGCAATAACAGGGAGAGCGGGGGATATGGACGGCGCCTGCAACCAACAGGAGAGGCGATGCGGCTGTCAGTCAGGAGAATGGTTGGTACAGGTGGCGCCTCGGCCCAATGAGGACTGCGAGGGGGGGAGGCGGGCGATGCCGTGCTCTGACGGTAGGTTGTCCGGAGGTATATAGCTTTATTGCAAAGCGCTGGCTCATCACGTCCTGGATCGTGAAAGTCAGCAAGTAGATCAGGGAGAGAGAGAGAGAGACTCTCACACACACTCACACACAGAGTGAGAGAGTGCGCTGAGTGCACACACAGCGCATCGCTCTGCACAGCGCATCCACAGCCCAGCACAGCCAGTCCACGGCACAGCCCGGCACAGCCCAGCACAGCCCGGCACAGCCAGTCCACGGCACAGCCCGGCACAGCCCAGCACAGCCCATCCACAGCCCAGCACAGCCCGGCACAGCCCAGCACAGCCCGGCACAGCCCAGCACAGCCCGGCAGACTGGCTTCTTGGCCGTCGCAAGAGAGAGTGAGAGGGGCTGCGATTGAAATGTAAAGCTGATTCTGTCCCTGGTTGGTTTGGATGCGGACTCGGGTCTGGATCGGCGGTGCCCGTGATCTCCACACACCACTGAGAGGGGCTTGAGAGCAAACGGCGGAGTGTGAGCCCTCTGATTGATTGCCTCCTCCACACCAGGAGGGACCACCACACACGTCCCTCTCCCTCCCTCCCTCCCTCTCCCCCCCTCTCCAGCCCAACAGCCGACCAGGCGATCTCAACTTCCAGCTGTAAGCCGAGCCGGACTCAGCCTTGGATCAAAAGTGCGTCTTTGTGGCCAAAAAGGATATCGCTTTTCAGACAGTTTCGCACAGAGAAGACGCACCGACACCACCGAGACGAGAGCCGCGACGTCGCTCTGTATTTGTAGTCAGTACCTTTGCTGTCCGAGAGCAAAGTGATCGGCGATGATGGCGACGAGGAACTCAGTTTGGAAATACTATTTGGGAGTTGTTTTCGTTATATGCGAAGCGGCGATATCGGACTGTGAAATACTGGAACCTATATATTGGAATTCCTCAAATTCTAAGTAAGTGAAACTAGTTGTCAGTCTCTCTCTCTGTCTGTCTCTGTGTGTGTGTGTGTGTGTGTCTGTCCTCAACTTGAGGTTTTTTTTAAAAAAATACAATATATAGTCCCAGTGACTCCAACGCCAACAATAACCATATAACGATGTCGGAGCCCGAGATAATTCACATGTATAATAACTCCGGCTCCACCACAACCTGCACCTCGGGGTACAGGAGAGGAGGGGGAGAGGGGGAGAGGAGAGGAGGAGGGGATCTCTTTAAACTGTTCCAAGACTTAATCGCAGTTGGCGAGGGTTAAGATACGGTGTTCACGTTGAGGGGTTGGGGTTGGGTGGGGGGGTGGCTCGGTATTCCGGGGGTTGGTGTTTACTCGCTGTCTCACACGGGTTGGTTTACAGTCGCTTTTGATGCACTGAGAAGGGAATCGTATTTCGCGGATAGACGCGGAGGAGGAATAAAATGGTACCGATCCCCGGGGTCCCTGTCTGTCTCGGGGCTCCGGCTGGGAAATCGGCAAGGACCGAGGGAGGGAGGGAGGGAGGAGAAGAGGAAAGGAGGGAAGGAGGGAGAGGAGGAAAGGAAGGAAGGAGGGAAGGAGGGAGAGGAGGAAAGGAAGGAGGGAAGGAGGGAGGGAGAGAAGCAAAATCTCAGAAATCGCGATTTATTCCCGACACCAATCCACAGAGAAACCTCAGCCCCACAGCGATCTGTGATTTCAGGATCAGCCTCAACAGATGGGAGAGATGGCGGTGATGGTGATGGTGATGTGATGGTGGTGTTGATCTTGCGGGGTTGAGCTGCTAATGTTTGGGAGGATAACGCCAATATGACCTTCCCTGGCTGGGACTTTCAAAGAGAGATAGAGAGAGAGAGAGAGATCGCACATCACTCACTCACTCACTCACTCACTCACTCACTCACTCACTCACTCACTCACTCACTGGGATTTGCAGAATCCCTCGCGATGAGAGTCTCTCTCACAGAGAGAGAGAGAGAGAGGGGAAAAAATACCGTGAGAGCAGTTCTCCCTCAAATTGTGAAGCAAAAAAAAAAAAAAATTAATGAAAAGGCTATCTAGAAAGTTGTTCTCTCCAGCAAGTACCGCACACACATGTTTTCTCCCAAACTTGTGCTGCTTCTGCTGAGAAAGAGAGAGAGAGAGAGAGAGAGAAAAAAACAACGAGACTCCCACCTTCTCGGCTGCCGAACAGCTGCTGTGCGTCTTCAAACACAATCTTATTCCAAAAGTGACCGCTTTCCCCCCCACACCCCACCCCACTCACCACCCCCCCCACTCAACCCCCCCACTCACCCCCCCCCCACACACACACCCCCACTCACCCCCACACACACACACCCACACACACACACCCCACACACTCACTCACCCCCCCCACTCACCCCCCCCACACACACACACCCCCACCCCACACACTCACTCACCCCCCCCACTCACCCCCCCACACCACACACACACACCCACACACACACACCCCCCACACACTCACCCCCCCCCCCCACTCACCCCCCCCCACTCACCCCCCCACACACACACACACCCACACACACACACCCCACACACACACCCACACACACACACCCCACACACTCACCCCCCCCCCCCCCCCCCCCCCCACACTCACCCCCCCCCCCCCCCCCCCCCCCCAACACACATATTCTCGGGTGTGTTTTCTTCAGAACCATCACATACAACAACACAATCTCCAAAAGTGCATCCGGTAATCAGGTTAAAAGGAGACGGAGAGAGAGAGAGAGAGAGAGAGAGAGAAAAAAAGAGAATTCTTTTTATAACGAAAAGCTTTGAACCGCGAGTTGATGGTGAAGTGTTTCTGTGGACTCTCAGGGCTTCCCCTTTCCTCTCCCGCGACTTAATGGCGACGTGAACTGTTGGTCAACAACTTCAGCCGCTTCACTTGAAGCCCCAAAAACTGGCGAACAGTGCAACTGTTTGGCTTTGTGAACCGTTTTGCCTGAGTCCCCCCCGACCCCCCCCCTCCCCATCCCCACCCCCACCCCCACCACCGGCCTCTGGTCAGAGATGGGTTCAATCTTTTCGTTGGGAACTGAATGAGCAAATGTTTGTTCAAAGTGTTCAGAGCAAATGGTGTGTCCCCGACACCGAAAACACAGCCAAAGGTAAAGGAACTCGAATGACACATCTAAATAAACTTTGGTGCATATTCTCCCTCCTCACCCCCCCCCCCACCCCCCAACCCCCCGAAATCCTTCAGCTCACGGTTTAAAGGTGACTTATTTGCTGAGCTCCACGTCCAAAACACTTGGCTGTTTTTCTCTCTCTCTCTCTCTCTCTCTCGGGACCATCTTAAACCATCTTTACAAACCCGAGTGGAGTGCGAGAGCAAATTTTCAGATTCCACCGCAGTTCCCAATAACTGTTACGCCGAGAGCGTAAAAAGGCGTCGTTATATTCTTAAGAAAAAAATAACTTATTTTAGTAAATTCCCAAAATATTGTGCGTTGTGAAGCGCAGCTGTGTATTTCTTTTTTTAATATATATATATATATATATATATATTAAAAAAAGCAAATGTGTTTCGGTGTTATTCTGCCATCTCGGTCTGTGTGAGTGCGAAGGACACTTTGGCTCATCGGAGAGACATCGATCACATTGGAAAGCAAACGGGGAGATTTCTGGTGAAGCCATTTGCGGGGAATAAGGACTTGAGGTGTAACTTTTTTTTCGCATCTGAGCTGTGTCTCTGTGAGAAACTGCGAGTCGTCTCCATAGACTGTTGTGAGAGAAACACACACACACACACACACACACATACATACACACACACACACATACACACACACATACACACACACACACACACACATACACACACACACACATACACACACACAAGGACGGGGCTGCATGTCACTGAGTGCGGAGTCAGTTGTTGGCTCAAGTCGCTCGTTCTTGTAAGCGAAGGGTCGATGAAGTTTGATCGAAACTAACCAGGTTTGGATCACATTTGGGAGAGCAAAAAAAAAATCAGAAAAATCGATTGAGAAATCACATTACAGCTTCACCATTTATCTCGAGTCCAAGTGACAATTCGTTCAATACCTCGCGTCAAAGTCCTCTCTCCCCCCCTAACACTCAAAAGAAAGTTGCGAAACTTGTTTTTAACACGTCTAACAATAATAATAATAGTAATAAAAATAAGTGAATGTGGAAAAAGATCCGAGAAGGGGGAGCAGGACTTGGAGGAAACGACCCCTTTTTGCCATTTCGGAACTGCTCGGCAGGTGATAAACTTTTCTCTGGTGCAGTTGGGTTGAACGTCAAACTTTGCACGAGAAAGAATTCGGATCAGAATTTTTTTTGTTGCAAAGAAAAAAAATAGATGTTCAAAGAGGCACGAAAAGGGGCGATTGGAAAATCGATCTCTGGAGGAGGGGGGGGAAAAAAAAGCAGCAGCAAAAAATATATATATTTCCCCGCAGTTACTGCTACATCCCGCCCGCTGCTGGTCTCCTAATATATGGACTGCCTGAGCACTGTATCCTCGCTACCATTTACTGGAGGCACTGTGATTGCTGCGAAGATGTCCCATCAGAGATTAGGCAAGAAGTTTGTGGTTCATTTTTTAATGTTATTTGCTCCAAATAAACACCACATTCCCATCAGAGGGTGGGGTGGTTTAGGCAAACAGTAGCCGTTGGATACACTAATTGGTCAAATAAATACTTGTTCCTCAATGCACAAACAAACAAAAAAAAGTCTGCAAACAGGGAAGTGAGAATGAAACTTCTGAGAAGTAATTGGAATCAGCATAAATGCAAGCGCCGCCAGTTCCTATATGAAGTTCAGTATTTATTTACGGTCTGTCCCTGGACTTTATTTTTTTTTTGGGGGGGGCATCCATTTAAAATTAGCGAGCGCATTAAATTGGCCAACTCCAAAAAAATGGAAAATTATATTTCGCCAATTTGTTTTAGGAATTGACAATTTAAATATTGTAGCAAGACATTTTTCTGAGGGATGTAGATAATTTTAAGGAAATCTTGTTAGTTACTTGGTGATATTTAAAGTACCGTCTGAATTGATCTGCAATATTGAACTGATTGGCTAAAAAAAACATTCTTGCGGACAGTACATGAATGCAGCTCAACAGTTCCCCTAATAAGAGGCAATATTGTAGTGTTCAACATGCAACTGAATACAAATCATAGTGATACAAATATTTTTATATCCATCTATAAAATAAATGCCCTGTAATGAATCTCCATCTCAGAAAAATCAACCAGGGATTACTTTGTTGTTTGCGTTTTCTAAATCGTGTGATGAAGGAAAAAATTACATTCAAAGAAGATTGTTATTTAGAAAGGTTGAAATCAGTTATTAAATAATATTAATGAACCTACAGTAATTGTAATGCAAATACATTTTGAAGTGGAAATTTGTGTTGGATTTTTAAGATTTCTTTTTTTAAAAAAATTGCAGTTACACAAGGGCATAAATAGGAGAGGTGTATATATATTATTTTCCACACAGCACAATCCTACAGAGGTCACTCTTTAGATACTCAACACAGCCAGCCTCTCAGACACATGATTTCTCATTCAGTAGCTGTCTGCAGCCATTTTCATTCCCGGCAATTATTGGTATCTTCTCAGCTCCTGGGCACAATACTTCCCTTAACCAAAAATTAAAGAACACATAATTACTGCCTTACTGTATATTCAACAACCTTACTTTATAGTGCAAAATATTCCAGAAGGTTTTTAAAATCTAATCTGAGTATTGCCACTAACATAAATAAAATGAGTGGCGCTGATGATGGTATTTTACCAAGGTTCTTTTGCTTGCAAGAAAGACCTTGAGCACTTTTGAGTTATGGATCTTTTTTAATAGTCAGAGAACAGTGCTGATGCACCATCACTGACCCATCTGTTAATGCCATGATGTAGGTAAAGAGGCGTAGATTCCATGTTGTGTTTGATGTACTTTCACTGCACAGTT